ACAGAAATCTAATTTGAACCAGTGCTGCATTCAACATACCACATGAAACAAAAATCGACGTTTATCTGTGATTTTTAATATTTGCTTTTAAATTAAGAAATTGAGTAATATATAGTATTGAAATTTGAATTAATCTACAGTTTGTTTTGATATAAATTCATGAATTATTAGTTCAATGAAATTTTGAATTCGAGTCAACAAATGAGATGACATGACATTTCACCAGTGACATGGCTCGAAAGAGTTAATGCAACCTCCAAAGTAAGTTTCTGTAAGGCCTCTTGTTAAGTTCACTTTGTTTTTTCCTTGTTCCAACCATGTACAGCAAAATTGATTTTAAACACTGCAATTATTTTTTTCTCATTCTGGCTGAGTCCCACAAATTGATAACATTCAAGTTAACTGCCATTTTTGATGACGACATGAAAACAGAAACTACTAGTATTTGTACTGTGATGCTTGATCCAATCAAACACCATATATAATTATACAGCAATCTCTCATTTTTATATACTAGTACCCAGTCAAACCTGCAGATGGGCTGTATAGCATTCATGTCCACCAGAGAAGTGTTTAGTTTATGTAGAACTAAGTCTACCAAATGACAGAAATTCTAAATCAAATTATATGTATTTTTTACAGCAAAGAACTAAATACTATTTAGAAAGTTTGTACCAAGTTCCATGCAATTCAGTTACATAATTCCACTTTAAGAAGGAAAAAAAAATCAGGGGATATCAGTGATACCCCTCTGATCTAGAGAGAGTTAAATGTCAAATTACAGCCCTCCCACAGCTGAAATGGCAAGCATTTGTATGGAAGGGATTTGAATCTATAACCCACAGATTGTGAATCCAGTACCCTAGCCACTATGGGTATGCCAGGCTTTCTAAGACAAAAAGAAATTTTAAAACCTAAAAATGAAAGAAATTCTAAATCAAACTATATGACTTGTTTAGAACAATAAACTAAATAATATTTAGAAATTTTGTACTTTTTGTACTAAGTTTCATGCAATTCAGTTACGGAATTTCACTGTGAGAAGACCAAAATCAAGGTATCCAGAAAGGGTTAACAACAGTAAAATCTATGTGCTGTTTTCTAATTTCACCTGAGAACACAATGCTGCTTCTTCATGGAAAAATCCTTTTACAAAATCGCAATATTCTTTCGTTGTGATGCGACATTCACCATAAATCCCCACACAACAAGGTCGACCAATTACTTCACAGGCCATGTGAGCATCAGCTTGGTCTCCACCTTGGATTGGTCGTCTACATATCTACATGATAAAACAAAATATTATCATTGTAAGATCTTGACTACATCTACAATGTTAGATTAAAAACACAAACCTGTAATGTTGTTAGCAATATATTTTTCTCTGATCTAAAATTATGATATAATGAATTTATTTTTACTGTTTCTGAAAACACATAAAAAAGCTGTTTCTCCAGGACTTAAAAAAAGAAAAAAGGAGCAAACAGGAAGTCAAAGACTGATTAGAAATCATTTCCTTATGAGAAATGAAATATTCAATATAATATAGTTTTAAAGAATTCTTACCCAGCAAAGTCCATATATAAGCTACCTAAACACAGTTTTAATGTACAAGAAAAGTTCTTTAACAGCCATTGCATAGGAGAAAGAGTGAGCTTACTGGCCATTTTGTGATGTCATCAGGCCATTCAAAAGGGTGAGCAGAAGCAGGTTCCTCACAGTATCTGGAAGTAAATAGTTACAAATATTACATATTTGTGAACTTAACACTATCAGATGTTATGGCAACAATTACATGTTATCAGATGCTATTGCAACATGCATCTGTTATCAGATGCTATTGCAACATGCATCTGTTATCAGATGTTATTGTAACATGTATCTGTTATCAGATGTTATTGTAACATGCATCTGTTTATTTTCAAGTCACATCAATTTATACATTGCAGTAGTTTCATAATAACTGTATCACATTTATGGAAAGCTGTTAATCTTTGTCTGGGTAAGTAATTGCATCAGGCGTTAATCATATTCATAAAATTATCACCATTAAATGCTACTGTTACAACAGGACAAGCTATCTCATCAAATGTTAACATTAAATGTGGATAAGATTATCATCATCAGTTGCTAATGCTGCATCTGAGTAAGTTCCTAAATCCCCTATTTACATTTTATCTTCGTACATTTATCAGATTACATGACATTGTTACAACAGCATGAAGCTCAAATACATCCTTAGATGTATAAGTTATCAGATTTGAGTTATTTTTTATATGGCTATTACATCTATACTATTATTCTGCTTGTTTGTATGTACGACCGTTACGTTTTCTGACCGAGAACCTGCTGCATAAGCATGCATAGTTAGAATGTTTCCCCAAGAAAACTGTGCATTTTGTACAACAGAATATTAAAAACTTATTACAGTTTTTAAAAAAGGTCTGACGTTATGTTATAGTATAACATTACAAGTTTATTTATAAATAGTATTAAGTAAAGTTTAGTCATAAATAAACTAAAGTAAAAAAAAAAAAAAAAAAAAAAGT